TTTTTAACATATATGCACGCATATAGACACCTACATACATACACACAAATATATGCATATAAAACCTGGTTTTTGCACTTAAGTATTTTTAGATTTACATAATGTTTTCATGCTTAGCGTATCATTCTTTGCCTAGCTATTTTTGTTTTAGTTTTGTCTGTTTTTGCTTAATTTTTTAGCTTTAGATTTACCTGTGTAGAAACATGTTGATATTTATGTATTTTTATTGGATTCCATTGTGTGATTATATCCATATTTATTTATTTCCAGTTGATAAAGATTTAGGTTTGCTACCACTTTTGCAATATTAAAAATAACACTGTAATGAACACTTTTAGACTGCATTAAGGTATCACTAAGATATATTCCTGGTGGTGGAAGTTCTGCATCAAAGTTCATGTACATCTGATATTACCAGATATGTTCAAAGTGCTTTATAAAGTGTTTATATATATTCATATGCCTACAGAAAGTGTTTGAGAGTTTTAACCAATATTTGGCATAAAATTTTGCATCTTTTTATGAGTTAGAAATGCTGTTTTGTATTAATACAATTGCAAATGCATTAAGTTGCAATTTCTTATTTAGAATACATCTTTGGCTTTTTTTCTTTTTTATTTGTTTATAGAAAGGTTTTTTGTTTTTGTAAATTTTTCATACTACTTCTTTGGTGGATAAACTTGCTTAAAATATGTTTTCCTGTTTTGTGGTTTGACTTTTCATAATATCAATGGTGTATTTTTTATTTAAAATGTTAAATTTAATGTAGTTATTTACATTAATCTTTTCCTTTATAGTTCATATTTAATTAATTTCCTACATCAAAATCATAAAGGTATTCTCCCATATGGTTTTAAAAAATCCCGATAATTTGGTTTTCATATTTTACTTATATTTTCACCTTTTTTGTACATGTAATGAGATAAAAATATACATTTCCCTCCTTATGGATAATAAATTGTCTCACATAATTTATTGAATAGCTCATTTTTTCCCCACTTTTCCTAAAATGGAGGTCTATTTCTCTCCTTTTTATTTGCTTAAACCATTTTTCACATGTTTACATGAATCTCAAAATAAGGACAAACTCTTATAATATTTATTGTTCAAAAATAAGTCTTGATATCCCAAAGACCAGTATCCCTATATCTACTTCTTAAAAAAATTCTTCCCAATTTTCTTGACTTGCTTTCATCCCTCATTCTTGCATTTTCATTTTACAATTGTTTTTCAATATTAATTTATGATATAAGAATTTTGATTCTATTTGACTGTCATTTTTGTAATGTATTTTTTTTTACCATGTTGAGTATTCCTTACCACACACAGTGCACAATCCCATTTATCCAGGTCTTATTTTATATCTTTCAATCATATTTTATAATTTTTTCTACAAATGTTTTTTGCTTCCCCCCCACACTTTTTCCTAGATCCTTTAGAGATCTTTGCAGTTATTGCTATAGAATAATTTTTCCTATTGTGTTTCCTTGTTGTTAACTGCTGTATTTAGAAATAGTGAGAATACATGTGAACTTTTTGATCTTAACACACTTACATCCTAGTTGAATACTACTATTAGGCTCCTCCTTTTTTCCTTATGGAAGCCATCATTATAATAAATGAGTTGGGATTATCAATGGCCTTCAGAAGTAGTTTTACAAAACAAAAACAAAAATGACTTGGAAATTGTGTTGAGCCATAAAGGGGAAAGATTTTAATTAAGAGGATTAGTGTGGGAAGGAGAAACAAGTATCTTACAGAAGAAAATGTAAACATTCTCAGGGTGGGTCCCACTAAGGGAAGCCCTTTTTCTTCTTCTCCCTGCCCCCCAGGGGGCTGGGATCAACCCAGGGCCTTGTGCACACTAGGCAAGTGTTCTGCTACTTAATCATCCCCTCAGACAAAGTATTAATTTCTTCAGAGAGAGAAAAAAAATTCCCAAGTGCATCTAGAACTGATGATGTTTAAAAATTCAATTATACACTTATTTATTTTTATTATTTTAAATTTATTTCCCCACTTAATTCCAAGACAGCTTATAAACACTATATATTCAGTGCAAGATATCTGTTTTTAAATTAGTAAAGTGTGAAAAGGGAGATTAAATTTAGAATTACACACACACACACACACATAATGTATATAAAATTCAGGTCACCAACAACTTACATAATGATTAAAGCTGAGTTTATATATATATATAACTCTAACATCTCTGGTGGCCAAAACAAGAGGGGAAAATAATAGGTTTTTGGATTCCTGTTGCCATTTTACAAACTATTCAGGAACTAAGACAATATTCAGAGCATTGAGGTCTGGGGAAAATGTTCTCCCACAGGTCCTCAGACATATGATACTGAGATGCAGAGAGCTTCATAATCAAAAGTATCCAAGAATAAATATGATAATATCTGATATTGTATAATAATATGGTATTGTAGTATCTCTCCATTTAATCAGAAATCATAATTTAAAAGCAAAAAAATCAGTGAAATTATCTGGCTGGGGCATGCTAAACAATAGGATTCAAATATAAAATTCACAGATTATCTTCTTTAATTCAAAAATTGAATATTGACTCTTTAGTAGATCTTGCTAATAAACTGCTGATTGTTAGTCAAAGAATTATTGGGGTTTAAAACCAACTAGAAAATATATATACCAATAAATGCTGTATAAGTTAAATGAACAAATGCAGCAAACACAAAACTAAATGCTTCTTCTATGAATTGAATTTGACTAGCAAGACTGGCAATTTGCAACCTTCATAAATGCATTAAATGACAACTTCTAGGAGGAAAGGGACTGTGTATGTTGTTCTGTTCACTGTTTTATCACTAGCTCTTAACATAGTACCTTGTATTTAATATATGTTCAATAAATATTTGAAGAGTAAATGAATGAGAAAATGAACCAAACAAACCTCCACACAGCATATTTTCTTCAGTTTGTTCTTTTTTCAAAGAATTGTGCAGCATCGTGATTCTGTGTTTCAGCAGGAATCTGAAACTTAAATAAATCTTCTCTTTACTCATTAAAAGCAGATATATATGAATTAAAAAGAGTTACAGTTGACATCCTCTCAAAAAAAAAAAAAAAAAAAGAGAGAAAACTAGTGCTGGGATGTGGCTCAAGCGGTAGCGTGCTGGCCTGGCATGCTCCTAGCACTGGGTTCGATCCTCAGCACCACATAAAAATAAAATAAAGATGTTGTGTCCACCGAAAACTAAAAACTAGATATTAAAAAACTCTCTCTCTCTCTTTAAAAATATGATAAAACTAATTAAGAGTTAGCATTATTTCCCAGAAGAAATGCCCCAGTGCTTAAGGTTTGTGTGAAATTCAAATAAAAACAATTAATATTTTATGTTTGTACAGTTCTTTAGGAATCTTCTATATGTCCCTAACTCCTTCCATATGACCCTTCCAACTATTGGATGTCTCCAGTGTACTTGTGAAAGCTTGTAACACATGTCATATATCACTTCTCTTCATGCTAAGCACTATCTGACTGTAATTCCTCATGCCTGAGGCATTGTAATAAGCCCTTTTCCTGCTTGGTTTCCCTGTCTGGTTCCTGTCCTTGGAGTCTGTGCTTCATAGCACAGAGTAGTTAGGTACACTGAGACTAGGTTGAAATGGAGATTCTGCCCTTTATTAGTTGTTGGATATTAAATTACTAGTTTCACTGCCCTAAATTAGTCTTTTTACCTTATCTTTTAAATGTGGGAAAATACATATCTCATATTCAGATTGTTATAAGATAAATGAGATAAACCTATGTACTGTGCCCAAGATTTGCTAAATAACAAGTGATAAATATTGATTGCACTTATCACAATTATCATAGGAGAATATTTTGTCTAGAATCTTAGTCTAACACTGACCATCCATAGTCAAGTTTCCAATGCTTTCCAGAAGCCTAAACATGGAGTATGTAACTTTCCTTAAATGACCTCAGCTTCCCTTTACAACTTCATCAGCTACCATCCTTTCTTCCTCCCCTCCTTTTATAACTGGACCTGTCATTTCTGTGTTCAGTTATACAAGTAAAACAGTGATTTTTCCAATCTCTAGGACCTGGCACACCCAGTTCCCTCTTTCTGGAATGCCCTCCCCCATGCTCTGGCAAAAAGCTTTCTCCTTCAATTTTCTCCTAGGAAATCATCTCTTCTCTGGTAGAATTAATCCTTTGATGAGTACATAGACTATCTAAAGCTATGTTGAATTTACTCACATTTATGTCTGTCTCCTCCACTCAGTCTTTGAATTTCTATTCTTTTGTAACCCTGTTAAGTCCCAGAATGTCTAGAACATAGTAAAGATTTAATATATGCTGCTTAACGAATGAACGTTCGCCAAGCCCTGTCTCCTACCACCTAACATGCGCTTAAGGTCTTTTGTCCAATTGCTTTTACTGATTTTCACTTAATTCAAGCAATGCTTGCTCCTGCAGAACTCCAACTTACGGGTGAACAGACATAAGACCCTCTGGATGTTTCAGGCTCCTGTTCGGGGTCACCAACACGAATTAACATGCTGGCAATTTAAGAAAAAAAAAAAAAGTGTTTCTTACTAGAAACTAGAAGGAAAGCGGGACTTGCCTCAGACTTGCCCTAGAAAAATGATTCCCTTCCTAGACCTGCTGCTTCATCCCTTTTCTCCCTCACCTCCCATCCGGGGAGCTACTTGGCAAGGGAGGGAGGAAAAGTGGGGAAGCGAGTTGAAAAAGTTGGTCATCCTCTCTCTATCTTCTTTATACAGAGAAACACTGCACTAAATCAGATGTGCTGCTAAGTCACCAACCAAGGAGTCTTGCTTCTTAGACTCCTCAAATACGTCTTGAGTTTCCTCTGACCCTTTTCTGCCAGTCTAGGGCTCTCCCACTCCCCTTCTCCAGCAGCCATCCCCCTCCCTTCCACAAGCCAGGAAAAAACCGCGTCTAGACCCCCTTGTTCTAGGACCTCTGTGACTCTCAAGGGAAGATGCAAATCACGGACAGCCTTAGCCCAATCACTGAAAGTCGAGTTTAAAAAAACAGATTGATGGCAAGAAAGCAAGGAAGAACAGAGCTACCGCCAATGCACGAGGAAAACCACATATACACATCAAATAGAATCCCCTGCTTGGAGACAGCAGGTTGCCTCCGACTACCCGAGGAACGCCGAGCTCCCCAAACAGGAACTTTAAAGGGATTGTTATCTGTTGCCTGTTCCACTAGGAATATTGTTTGCAAGGCACAAGGTGTCTTTTGGTAGTGAGCACCCTTTGCGCATGCGCAGGTCCACTCGGGAATTACTGCCCAGCCGCCGACTAAGTTGCATTCCTTGAATCTTCGCAGAAAAGACAATTCTTTAATCAGAGTTAGTAATGTGGACAGTACAAAATAGAGAGAGTTTGGGGCTTCTCTCTTTCCCTGTGATGATTGCCATGGTCTGTTGTGCACACAGGTGAGCTGCCTTTGTTGAATCTCTTTCTCTCTCTCTGTGATAATTTCTTTTTACATGCCTGCTGAATTGTGTATCTTGTTATTTGGGGGTAGGTGTGCCTGCATCTTTTTATGTCTGCTTTCAGTTTGTGCTCATTTTGAATACGGTCTCTATCTACTTCTTCCCTTCAGCGCCAATGAACCCAGCAACATGTCATACGTGAAAGAGACAGTGGACAGATTGCTCAAAGGATATGACATTCGCTTGCGACCGGACTTTGGAGGTAATGCTTCATTCCTTTTCAACCTGTAACCCATCCCTAGTTCACCTTTTCTGTCAAAGATAAGTGCAAAAATAAAAAATGTCATTTTCGTGAGCATGCACTATGCTTTGGACACACACACACACACACACACACACACACACACACGACTTCGGATCTCAGGTAGATGAATCCCCACTCTGAGCCGACCTCCCTCCGGCAGACACACCCTCTGCATAGTCACTGCATCACGCGTGTGTCCACACCTGTTTTCCCAGGCTGTCCCCCACGAGAAGGTTGGGGGGGGAGGGAGGGAGCCTGTTCAGAATGTAGTAAGAGCTGTGAATCCCCCCCCTCCTCCAGCCAACTGCCACTCAGAGAATATGCCCTTAATATGGTCCCGACTCCCCGCAGGGCCCCCAGTGGACGTAGGCATGCGGATCGATGTCGCCAGCATAGATATGGTCTCCGAAGTGAACATGGTGAGTGGCCTCGCGACGGGCCCGGCTGCCCGGCTTACGCAGATGTGAAATGGACAGATCCCCGCGTCCTCTGCGTTTCATTGGCGGTCACCTAGCCCCTGGCCCCGGGGGTCCCACTCCGCGCGTGCTCCCCACTCCAGCACACACACCCGGTTGCTCCAGGGTTTGTATTTTCGACACACACTGGCTACTGCGGTGTTCCAGAGGAAACGTGCTCGGCACTATTTTGGGAAGGACGGGTGACTGTTGCGCCGGCAGATTGGCTGGGGCGGAGTCTGAGCTTTACTTTAGCAGGGTTTCCCGGCGAGTGGAGATGTGGAGGGCACCATCTGCTGGCGACCAGGCAGCCTGCACTAGGGCCCCGGACCGGTGGTCCGCAAGCCTTCACCTTGCCAGGCACCATTCGCACAGCCCCATTAGACTGCTGGCCCGGACGCTTGGAGACTCCACCACCGGGCACACAGTCGTAGTTTCAGAGCGTTGCCTGCCTCCTTCAGGCTCTAGCACACCGTGAGGCAGGAGCAACAGGCTGAAATAACGGTCCGTGCTTCCTAACATAAGGAGTGCCCAAGCCTACTCCAGGGGAGGGCTTGTATTGTTCCCATGCTGGGGTTGATGAATTTATCTTGCTGCATTTTCCAAATTTGAAACACAGTGGGTCGAGTTATATTGCTTTGCTTTACTCTAGACGCCTAAGTGCAATTGTAGAAAAAGCTCCATGATTAAAGGGACTGTGGAGAGGTGGAGAGCGATGATAACAGTACAATCCCTCCATTTCAAAGGGGTCAACATTATTCATTTCTTTTTCTTTCTCTTTTCTGAAGCAGTTGCAAAATGCTTCAAATCATAGCTGCTGCTTCATTTGTTGGCTATTGCAACCACTCTGGGTAGCAGTTTTTCTAGTTACAGTGAGTTCAGAAGGAAATGCCTGTTGCTTTTCTAGAATACACTATCCAAAGAACAGCTAGATCTATGTGAACAAAATGTCATTTTTATTCCACTGGAGAGAAAAAAAAAATGGCAGCAGAAATTTAGACATCCTGAATAATTTAAAGGCTAAAACCTTTTAGAATTTTTATTTCTCTGTAGCTGTAATGGCCATTGGGTTATCTTTTATTTCATTCCTTTTGTCATTTTATGTTAATATACCAACATTTAAGAATTTTTCTTTTTATTTGTTGGTTATATCAGGAAGAAAAAATGTGTTTATATCCTATTGAATAGGTTTAGAATAAAAGTGTGGTTATTATATTTCTGTATTTTATAGTTGCAACTGACTCTGCTTTATATAGTTTATTTAAAATACTATTTTAAATTGTTTCTGATTATTTAAAACGATATTTTCAAATGTCTTTCACTGTTTGCTGGAAAAAGAAACCCAATTTTTGAAATTTATTGCACACAAGAGAATGTTTTTTGACTTGGCAAAGATTTTTAACAGATTTACTTATTAATTTTGTTTACATACATGCTAAAACTAGAAAGCAACTCAAAACACACTATTTACATATACTCAGAGAAATGTGATCATGGGTAAACATATATAAAACTGGACGAGTTAGACAATGAGTTTAACAAGTTATGCCATTTGGAGAGATGATGATATTTTCTTTTTAAGTCACTTATCTTGGCACCTTGTAAGCATCCACATAGATAATTCATAAAATAAAATATTCAGAAAGCTAAAAAGGCAAGCATTGCCTTTGCCAGTTGTCTACCTTAGTATACAGAGTACCATGCCTTTCAGAATTTCTAAAGATATATAATTCTCTTGGTCAGGACTCGGGGAATAGTTCAGTGCCACAACATTTGCTGAGCGTGTGCAAGGTCCTGGATTCCATTCCCAGCACCTGAAAAATTTAAAAAACCAATAAATTCTGTTACTATATTTATAAACACTCTTCCTTCTTGTTATTTTTAAAAATTCTCAACTGAATTGGTAAGTTGCTGATAACCAAAACAACCATCATAACAAAAAAGCTCTGTATTATCAGTTGTTCAACCAAATTCATAACAAGCTAAAAGATTGAATATAATTGCAGTAGCACAGGATATTTCCTTTTAATTACTGAATAATAGAGTATGTTTATTCACTATACTGTTATATATGCACTTGGTTTTTAAGTATTCATTCAATAGATAAAGCTTGAAAATATACTAAAATACCTATCACTTCTTCATAATGCTTTTAAGAGACATGATAGGAAAAATAGAAATTACCGAAAGTTAGAAAATATAAAATATTTATTTATTTATTTATTTATTCTTCCTTGTTTCTACTTTTAATGAGAGATACCAACAGGATCCAGGGTTTATTTTATCCTCTCATCTATAACAAAGCATTCAAATAAATAGAATGGAAATAACTTTAAGAAAAATGGAAATGGAGAGGAATTTTTTTAAGGATCGAGTGCTCTACATAAACACAACCTAGATGGTTAGACCTCTACCACTAAGGAAGATAATTATCTATAACATGCTTTGATTTTTAGACCATGAAAGTAGGATTAAAAGTTTGTGGGAAATAAGACTCATTGCTTTTAATTAAGATGTTTCAGAATGCCGATACGCAGTAAAATTTGTAGTCCTTTAATAGGAAATTATCCCCCAAATTAAGGGAAAACAAGAATGAACAAGACTACAATAAAATAGTTTTTAAGTAAGTTAAATACATTAGTCAATCATTGCCCACTTTTATTCATTATTATTATTTCCCATTCCATGACTGAGGAAATTACATAATTGTGCATTAAATTAATGGGTTTGAGAACTAGGTTCTACTAATTTTTGTCCTTTTCCTGTGCTACTCTAAGTAAAATATAACTCCAGATTGGTTTAAAGCATTCTGTCTTTTAAAGACTAACAATTTGTTTTAAACACTAACATCATAACAATAATACTTTCTGACTCATGTCCTTTAGGATATAAAATGTTTTTTCCCAAAGTATGGAAAATAAAAAGAGACTTTGTAGCCAAGAATCTCCACATTCAAAAATCAACAACATAAATCAAAACAGCATGATATTCCATCAATATGTACATTTTTTTGTTTCTATGAATCAATTAAAATAAATTTAACTTAAATAAAAAAACAATAATTACCTTAAAATCATTGATTCTGAGCAGTATATACAAAAACTTTGAAGCATTATTCTAAGGTAGAAAAAATATATACTTGAAAGCAAGACTTCTTTTCACATAATAATATTGATTAAATTAGGAAGAAGTTTTTCTCACATCCTGGTCTGCGGTGTTTGTGATATCAATTACATACCATTGTCATTTTTTAAACTATCATCTTAAAAACTACTGTGATTTCCATTTATTATTTATTAAACTCTTCAAAACTTTTTAAACAACTTCTGGCTATGCTTCTCCCCAACCCCACGTACAACAGACTAGAGATTAACAAGGGGCAAAAGGAGACAAGAGCTTGCAGAAATTAACCTCAAAGGAACCACTAACTATGAGCCAAGTAGAACACAGATAGTCTTAGGCAAGTTTTCTCTTTGAGTAGTGGTTTGGGGATATATGATATAGACAACATGCAAACAAACAGTTGAAATCTTGAACTTCAAATTCCAATAACTGGTTATTCCTCCTTATTCAAGAGTCAGATCCTCATCATTAAGTAGTGTTCCAACCACAGCTCTCTGTTCTTGATCTAAGGAAACTGTCATCCAAGTACTGCCCCCCAGGAGACTTTCAAAGGAGTCAGCCAAAGTTATTTACCCTAAGAGACAGCCATCATGTATTCATTGTTTCATTCCTTTTTTTTTCAACCATGGGTGGATACAACAGTGAATGCTCTTACAGGTATTATAATTAATAACAACAACAACAAGATAACTAATGCTAAAATGAGCCAATTTTAATAAATAAGGCCCAAAAGAAAGAAAAAATTAACTTATCAAATACACACTTAAATTCCACCAAGTTACTATTTATAGGTTTCTATGGTTCAGTCATGTTTATTACCACCATAGTAACTCAAAACAGTAACCCCTTATAAGAATTATGCTACCCCACACCCTTTCCTTTAATTCAGTGCTTCTCGATATTTAATGTATACCTGCATCACTCTGAGATCTTGTTAAAATGAAAATTCTGAACTAGTGGTCTGGTGTGGGTCCTGATATTCTGCATTTCTTCTGGGTGATGTCTGTTGCTAGAATGTGGACAGTATTTTGAGTGTCAGGGTTGTGATATGTTATTCTAAGATCTAGCCTTATGAAGAAGTGAACAATTTTTTGTCTTTTAAATTTTTCTAGGAATGGTGTTATGTCAAGGTTTCAACTTCACTTTGAAGTTCCAGTTAGTTAAACAGGTGTCTATGATCAAAAGGAAAAATTAGTTCAATAATTAGTGATTAACAACAAAGGCAAGAGCATGGATGATAGGGTTTGAGTTAAAGTAATACACAGTCTTCATCTCTGTGTTGCTACTGCAAATCAGCCAAATGTAGATGACGACTATGAAAATAGTGCCAAGCACAGTTACCCCAATAGCGCTGTCCTTTTGCTTTACAGAACACCAATGTCTTCAGAATAGAGAACATTGAAAGTTTCCCCCCCACCGAGGAGCTAGCAATAGCTTTGTAAAATAGCTTAACCATACTCCTGCTTCTGTTAGTAAATTCTCTAGGACTCTAATAGAATTTTCTTTGTGAACAGAGCAGATAGGTCAGTGCCATTTAAAGGCAAGAACAGGTACAAGTCTTTCACTAAAGATATATGTGATTAATCAACCAGGTCTTTCCGTTAGGTGCTGGGTGAGAATATTATACCTTCTAAGGGGAAGCTCTTCCCTTTGACTATGTGGGGATAACAGATATGTTTTACATCTTAAAACACATTAAATGAAACATATCTAGATTTTAAAATGTTTGATTTTACATTTGAAAACCCGTGATTTTAGGGTTACTGGACCAGACTGGGTATTAAAGTCTGTAACATGATGAAAATAAGTAGTATCATTTATGGAACATTTCACACATGTGA